TTGCATTTAAACATTCAACATATCTTGAAGAATCGAAAAATACTGTATGAAAACATTTCAATTGATGAGGACAATTTGTTAATAAATCACTATAACGATTAGATAAGGTTTCAAATTTAATAAGAAAATATATAATATCAATATAATTTATCAATCATTATTGGTGTTTACTTGTGAAATGAAGATTCTTAGATTTAAATAAATCAAATGTAATAGTTGGATATTACTTATGACTCTTATGATTGATCGTAAGTATACATTTTTGTAACGTTGAAGACATTGAATGTAAAGTTCGTGGGTTTTGGATTATCGTTGATATTTCGAGGTTTGGAGTACAGAAGATATTTATTAGAATATATGCTGTACAAATGATTGAATAAATGAAACGCGCATTTCACCTTTTCATGTTCGCAATCCCTTATAGTTTGATCACAGGAATTTTCATAATATCTTTTAAACAGAAAAAAATATCTTCTTCGTAATTCAAACTTTAAAGTATCTAATAGTATAAATTTCTTCAAAATTTAGAAACCTGTGTTTTATAATAACGATCTCTATCTATCCTTTGACAGCGTAAAAGAATGAAAAATTTGAACGAATAATTCAGAATAATAAATAAATAAATATATATATATATATACGATATTTTTATATTTTAACAATACTACAAATAAATGTGATAAAATTGATATTCCAAGTTTCCCCGGAGGCGAACCCACCACGCGTTTCCTTACCGGAGGAGAGCCATCTACTCGATATTGCTCCTCGAAGGTGTTCGAGTTCGACTAAAAAGCTCAATTTCGCGGGAACGTGTCATACGAACGGCCAACTCGAATTTTAACCGGTAGTCACCTGGTATTATTGATCAAAACTTTACCTATTATCTGACAGCTTGTTGTCCGGTGTTACCATGGCATCGGCGATCATTCGAATCCGTTTTTCCTCTCGTTCGTCTCTTTCTTCCTCCTTTCCTTCGCGAAATCACTTTTCACCGGTACGGGAGGATTTAAACGAGAAACTTTCGCCCCGGAACTCGGCCACGTCGAATCCCCGAAAATTAAGAGAGCCCGGCCATTAGCGCTTGCAAGCCTAATTGCCCCTCTTATCAGCGACTTCGACGTGTTCGGGTCAGGGATGGGTAACATCGATAGATAACTCGCCCGTCAAACTTAGCAATCTGTTTTTTTTTTTTTTTGTTTCTTTAACTCTATTTTCTTCGCACATTTAGGTTCTAGATTCTTAGATTCAGATTCTTCATACATTTAAAAAAAGAATCTTTAGTTCATTTTTCTCTCCAATGCTTCATTTATTATCGCAAGCAAGGGATTTACACAATTAGAACACAACAGTCTGTGTTAAGGAATATAATTTCATTTATTTTATAGCTAGTTATGTAGTCTAAATAGCGAACGAAATTTTAATAAAGTTAAGATGAGTGTAACATTATTATTATTATTTGTCACATTAGCTTTCAAAATTATTCTTTTCTTTTTCAGTGAATTGGCTATGAGTATCATTTTACATTGAAAATGTTTCGAATGATGAAGTTCCTTTTGCTAAACATTTGATTTCTGTAATACGATAAATCGAGTTCTGTGTGTCCATCCCTGTTCCGGTTTCCGGAGGAACGGCTGTCTATCGTGCTCGATCAGGACTGGAAAGTTCGATTTGCGAGGCTTGCCAAGAAATTTTCGAGGCCCCGTTTCACCATCGAGCCGTCTCATCGCGATTGATGGACGCTTGATTTGCCCGCGACACGAGAAACGGAATTATAAATTATTTCGCCAACTATTTCCTCGTATATCTTTAAGATATGATATATTTTGTATACTCGCGGGAAAATTCTATCTTTTCTATCGTTCGTTTGACAAGTCAAAAAAATTGAAAAGGACCAAATCTTAACTCATTGAGGGAATAATTAATAAAAAAAAAAAAAAAAAAAAAA